CTGTGTTAATATTTCATATATTCGTACGTTTTCGATTTTATATTCACACACCCTCGATCGTCGTCTCCGGGGGTTAAAAACGCAATTACAACGTGTAATTGTTGTTTAGCGATATCTCGGGTGTTTTTTTCTATATTTGCAAGGGAACAAATGTTACCATATGGGAGAGGGCCCCAAATGGTGACCCCCTTTTCGTGTTGTTTGTATCTGTGTAAACGCGCCTCGGGGGTGCCATCCGGTCTCTTTCTACGAGGACGTACTTACACGATCGCTCAACGTCAGCGAACATTCGGTCAACTGGTCCATTGGGACGATTGGGGTAGATTTAAGGGATGACTATGGTGATGATGGGGCGCTGACGGAATCCCAACTGTCCCCCCATCGGGGCTCAGATGGGGGCAGTGAAGTTAGCACCCCCACTTAACAATTTTTAAATAGAAATAATACCATAATTTTGTACACTAAGTTTCGAATTTTGCACACCTATCATTGAAATTATATTGGGGGTGCTAATTTGACGGTGGCACCCCCACTTCAACATATGTTTCAAAATTTTGTGGCAATTTTATTACTGAATTTTAAAAAAAATTCAGCACCCCCAATTTAGCGTAAACGCATAATTTTATACCAAAGAAATCATTTAATTTTGCACATCTTTTACTTAATTTTGTACAGTTTGTCTTTACGAGTAATTCCCTACCAATAAAAAACCGTAGCACAATCTTATACGGAATTTGGAGTATTGCACTATTTTTTTACAAGTAATTACCTATCATTTAAAAAAGACCTCGGTTTAAAATGCTACTACCACTTTCATTATTGGATCTCGCACAATTTTGCACCTTTATCTTTTTTTTGCACCTCTTTTATACACTATACATTACTATTAGATAACACAGGGCGATAAAAAAAAGTCATGTCGTGACAACTTGACAAATTTTATGTTATTTTGTTCGTCTCAGTAAGACAAATCAAATGCACTAAAAAAATTTCAAAAAGTCCACACACTTTAAACTAAATAATTTTTTTCTAATTTAAATGAAATAATTTTTTTTAAACTATTAGGCCGATTTCCTTCAAATAAAGACCATTCTAAAGGGATGGCCTTGTCCTTTAGAATGATATGCAATTTGAAATTGAATATTGGCAAACTTTTCTTCGATCAGTGTTCGAAAAGTTCGAAGTAATCTAAGAAAAACCCTACGAGTAATTTTTTGTCACCATCGTGCGGAGCATCTTTTTATTAGTAAGAATCCAAATTTTTAAAATAATATACCGAGTAGTTTTCAAGATATGATTTTTTTAAGTTAATCTTACTTAAAATTGCATTTTTATAAAAGTATTTGTTTTAATACTCTTTTTTTTGCTTAAAAGTGATCAATTGCACCTTCTTTGTTCTAATTAGAATAAAAAAATTGTTTTTTTTTATTTTGATGAATATTAGGCAATGTTCAGAAACAATACAATGTGCAATTGTTCTTTTAATTATTTTGCTAAACTTTGATCAATCGGTCCGAGAAAACGCTTCTTTAAATCAAATCAGTTTGAGTTTGAAAAAAAAATATTATCTAAAAAATCATAAGGATCTGATAAGACGTTTATTCCAGTTTTTACACAATGATTATATTCTCTGTGTGGTCATTAGTTGCTGAGATATGGATGATCAAAGCCAAAAGGATCCTTTTTTATTTAAAGTCAGATATCTCAGCGACAAATTGACGTAAAGAGAATATGAAAAAAACATATTAAAGGTAAAACAAACATGCTATTCGGATTAGGCATTGATTTAACTAAAAAAAAACTCTCCACGTCCGAAAACCAAAAACAAAAACATAAAAATTTAAAAAAATGTTTTCTTGCGCTATTACTGTGTGATAACCGTAGCACAAAAAAAATTTGCCAAAAGATCTCAAAACTAGAAACTTAAAGCTTCAAAACGATTTTTAAAAAATCTAGATACGACCATTTTACGATGAGATACAACCTTTCAAAAATCATCAAAAAATTTAGGAAAATTTTTGTTCCTTTGTAGTGTATTCTAGGATCTAATTTTCATTTTAGATAATTTTTAATTTTACACGAGGTATTTTTTTTTAAACAAGCCACTTTGCATATTTCATAATTCAGTAATTCAGCTGTGTATTTTCTTTGGCTTTTGTGTATTTTTTTGCAGAACAAATTATCATAAAAGTGCAAGGATAACTTTAAAATGTCATGTCATCTCGGAATTTTCTAATTTTTGTTTATTTTCTTAGATACGCAGGGTGGCACGTTTTAAAAAACCACTCTGTATAGTAACAACTGGATGGATCAGATTAAATAAACAAGTCAACAACAAAAATAAGTTTTATTATTTATTCGCCACATATTTCTTGCAAACAGTGTTGCAAGCTCAGAAAAGTAAATGTAATTTGTTCAATGATAAATTACAACTACCAATTACATACAGTGTGAATCAACGTAATCACAACACAAATAACAGTATTTGTATGTCTCTCGCAACGTCTAATTAAAGACACTCCAATTTAAATTTTGTGCGGTAGATACCATGCGAATCAAAAAATAAATAAATAAATTAGAGTAGGCAATGAATTGTATTCTACAGTTGGCAACACGTTGGCTGGGAATCGGGCTGGAAATTTTCCACACAAACTGAAAGTGAAAATGACCATTCACCGTTTTCGTCTTGTACAGGGTGCTGCTTTTTGGATGTCGGAAACTAAGATATTTGACATTTTTGCGAAATCTAAAAAAAATCATATCTTCGTTATTATATATATTTGAAATAAAGACATTATAAGGCACTTTTTTACGAGGAATTTAATAATTTAGTTAACTATTTTTTTCATTTTTTATTAGTTTAGCCGTAATAAGATAAACTTGTATTTTTTTAAATGGAAATCATAGGCGGCTATGGCAATTTTGAAAAGCTTATTTTTTTCTGCTCTAAAAATATATATTTGTAACAAAATATTTTTTTATAACTATACTTAAAAAGTGAAATACATATTTTGTGTGATAATAGTTGGCCATGGAAAAACTATTTCACTCCAAATGTGTAAATAATAATCAATAAGAGTTTTGTGAACTGTAAAATAGATGAAAAAATAGATAAAACTATAAAAATTTAAAAAATACGATACGTTAGAAGTATTGAACAAATATGCGAGCGCCTCAGAACAAAATTATTACATATTTTTAAAAAATCCAAAAATAGGAAAAACAAATGTGTCAACAGTCAACTCAATTAGAAAAAACATTTTTTTGATGATCTAATGGAGGTAGGATAATGTTTCACATAGACGGAATTTGGGTATTTGAATAGCCATATCGTAATTTTTGTGTCATATAAAATATAGTTTATTGAGGAATTAAAGCGGCTTTTTTTACAACACTCTATGTATCACTAGAAGTTGCAATGGTAATGTTAGCTTGTTTAAAAACAAAGAAATGTTATTAGTCGCCAATAAGTTGATTTACAATTTATTTTGCATCTTTTTCATTACTTAGTACTTAGAAAACTCTTTCATTAATGACACTGGTTGAATAATATAGTTTAAATCCTTTTAGTTGAAGATGCAACATTTTTTCATGGTCAACTGCGAACAAAAATCAAAGATGATTTTTTGTTAAAAATGTATTATAATAATTTGTTACAAATATATATTTTTTAGATAAGAAAAAAACAAGCTTTTTAAAAATGACATAGCCATCTATGGTTCCCATTTAAAAAAATACAAGTTTATTTTATTATGGCTAAACAAACAACAGAAAAAAATTGTTAACTACATTATTAAATTCTACGTAAAAAAGTGCCTTTATTTCAAATCTGTGTCTTCTATAATAACGAAGATATGAATTTTTTTAGATTTCGCTGAAATGTCAATTTTTGTCTATAAGTCGAAAACAAAAGACGATTTTCACCAATATTATTTTCTCAAAAAATGAGCCCCCAGAATGTATTACTCGTTTTTGGCTAAAGCTCTTAGTTTCATTATTCCACTATTCATTATTTCACTCAAAATGAATAAAACGCAAACTTGTCAAAGTTTCGGTTGACATTTGATGTCAAAAATCAGGCTTGCCATCTGAAGGACTTTAATCACCGCCTACTCTACCTAATTTATTTAATTTTTTTACTTTCAAGTACCATAATTTCAAGGCCGTCTCCGATCGCTGATAAGCCCCAAAACCCGTGGTATATAGCTTTTACGGTAGCAGAAGCGGTATATGCACGCTCGCAGGGTTGCCACCACATAATAACAACCTTCTATACCGGTCGAACGGCGTAATCGGTTCGTGTCCCAACCCGCCCACTTTGTAATTATATTTTTGATGCATGCCCGTCCCCCCTTGCCCCGCCGAAGACGTCTTCGATAAGAAACCGAGATAACACACCGTATGCTCAATGCATAGAAATAGGAAAAACAAGAAAAAAAAAAGACGATTATTGCGTCGGTAATGATAAACCGCAACCACCTTTCTGAGGTTTTTTCTTTTCTCGATTTTATTGTTCAATCGGCGAAGATCAAAGCGTGCGTCGTACCGCCGAACAAATGACAATCTATTCGGTTCGGTAGCATCATCGCAGGCGGCGACGGAGTGTGGTCGCCTCGCCTACCGCGACAATTAAATAACTCCGGAAGACAATCATAAAAATCCCGATAAATTCTTTTCTAGGACATTTAACAAGTATTTCATTTAAATCCGGGGGATAAATGTGACGGTAAGAAATTCCACTTCGGGGAGACTAATGGGAGATTTTAACGCGAATTAAACGCTTCCCTGGACGGAAACCCAATTGATGGGTTTCCGATTTGGTAAAAATTTTGCGCATAGTGGCGCCACCTATGAATGTAGTTCAAGCAACCGATACAGGTACCTGTAACTGTACTAAAAATTTTGTTTAACCAAAAATTCTTGTTTTTGTGTTCACCGCATAAGAAATCATAAATAAACAATAAAATTAAAGTTTAGACAACGAATTAGCTAATTCCTACCTTGGTTTTGCCCATTTCCATGACCTTATCGCTTCCCACTACGATCGATGTAAAATAACAAATTGCGTTTTATCACACAAAACACGTTGCGGACGTTACACAATAACTGTTTTAACACACACACACATTGTTTTACACATGATTTTTTCTCACAATATAGCTTTTTAAGAGCGATGCAACGCCAATTCAAAAACAATTGAAGAACGTAATGGAAAAAGGGTCGCCAACCAAAATCCGGCAAAAGTAACTAAAAATTTATTAACAATTTCCACGCAATGTTTGAATAAAGATTCATTATTTAGCGTTTTTATCAGTCCTGAAGCCACTGTTTTTATGAATAAATCAAAACTTTGTGTAGTTTTTCGCCGAAAATACGGTAAAGAAAAATAAATAAAACTATGTATGTTTGGTTGCCGACTTTAAAGACTTTTAATACAGGAAAAAATTGAAAAAACACCCTTACAAATATGACATTTTAAAACAGGAAAACATTTTCAATAACAAAACAATAAGTCAGTCACTACAAATTGACTTTCGATTTTTAAAGAAATTGCATAACAAATTTGTTTTCGGAACTGTGTTAAAATAGTACAAGTTTTATAAGGATGCCAACGCCATTATAAAACGAGTATTTTATAGTATTTCTTTTAAATTGCGCCCCCTTTTTTCTTATTTTAATTAAAAAAATATATATTTTTGTCGTTTAGAGAATTTTGTGTTAGTTGGTATGGTTGGTAACTCTCGGCGCCCACCTGATTTTTTGAATCATTTCTGCCGTCTGTCATTAAAAATAAAATTTACAAATTATTAGTTATTGGTGTTACAACATAATAATAATAAATAAAATATGCTCAAAAAAATATGTTCAAATGTTTCGGGGAATCGATTGGCGTAAAAAAAACTGCAAAATTCCTAATAGTTTTGAAGTTATAGTCGGATTTAAATTTTCGATATTTTTGACTTTATCACAAATTTTCTCAATAACTATTCATCGTAGAGCACTGAACTTTTTAATATATGATAGAAAATTCAATTTTCTATCCAACGGTATCAAATACAAGAGGTTATCTCTAATAAGTCCGGAGTTATTGCCATTAGACCGCTCCGGGTGCCAAAAATCGACCAAAATCTCGACAAAAATCAAAAAAAAATGTTATCTTTAAAATTGATCTATTTTACGTTTTTTACATTCCTAGAGGTCTTAAGGACTCAAATAAGTGCATAAAACGACATTCGGTCAAGTTTCAAAAATTTGGAATTTTTTGAGTTTTTGAAGGTGAGCGGTAGTAAAATCGTAAAAATAGTCAATTTACCTTAAGTCATAAAAATGGTTGAAATATGGTTTTCTAGACGTAAAATTACGCGCTGAACACGATGCAACAAGTTAAAATACTCTACGATGCTTAGTTTTTGAGATATTGAGTAATAAAATTAAGAATAAGGCTAAAAGTATAAGCACTATATCCGATTTTGACCAAAAATCAACATTTTTTGATTCTTATGAAAAACTAGTACTATATGTAAAATTAACCGGAGAACACGCCTGATAACATCGTTTTGACCTAGGACTCATAGTTTTTGAGATATGATTTTTTTTTTGAAAAAAATAAAAATGCCTTTGTTCCCGGAACCATAATCCGGAGCGACTTCCGGTTTGCGCCAGTAAATAGATAATTTTAAGCTAATTTTAATGGTTTTTACCCCTTTGCTCTAAGTTCTATAGTTTCGTAGAAAAACGCGTTTAAAGTATCACAATTTTGACAATTTTCACTTTTTAAACGCCGATTACGGCGAAACTAAAGGAGATAGCGCAAAATAATTGGGAAATTCGTAATTAGCGCGTCAAAATCTATCGGATAAGATAGGTTTAAATTGAATCTAAGACATGTTTAAAAACACTAGTTTTTAAGGGGGGGGGGGTGTTTTGAGTTTTTTTTACTTTTTTTTATTTTGTAAATTGCGGCAAAACTGAGTCTCAATGACATAATATTTTGACCTATACCTACGTAAAATGTTCCGGGGAATCGATTGGCGTCAATTAAACTGCAAAATTCGTAGTAGTTTTGAAGTTATAGTCGGATTTAAATTCTCGATATTTTTGACTTTATCAGAAATTTTTTCGATAACTATCCATCGTAGAGCACTTATCTTTTTTTCGTATGATAGAAAATTAAATTTGCTTTCTAACGGTACCAAATATAAGAGGTTATTACCAATAAATTCGGAGTTATTGGCAATAGACCGCTTCGGGTACCAAAAATCGACCAAAAAAATTTCAACAAAAAAAAAAATCAAAAATGTTTGATTCTATGAAAAACTAGTACAATATGTAAGATTAACCACAGAATACGACTGTATAAACCGTTTTGACCTAGGACTGACTCATAGTTTTTGAGATATTATTTTTTTTTAATGAAACTAAAAATGGCTCTGTACCTGGAACCACAACCCGGAGCGACTTACGGTTTGCGCCATTAGATAGATAATTCAAAGTAGATTTGAATGGTTTTCACCTTTTTGCTCTAGGTCTTATAGTTTCGTAGAAAAACGCATTTAAAATTTCACAATTTTGACAATTTTTAATTTTTGAAAGACGATTACGGCCAAACTATTAAACTTAGAGCAAAAAGCTCAATACCATCGTAAGCAGCGTAAAAAATCTATAGATTAACATCAAAGCCAAGTCGACAAATTTTTACTTTTTTTATTTTCTAATAAATAAATAAATAAATAAATAAATCTCGACAAAAATCAAAAAAAAACTAGCACTATATGTAAAATTGAGAATACGCTTTTTTTTTAAGTCCCACTTTTTACGATCGAGCTTTGGGACCTGTATAGTGTTATTTACATTCAAAATTAAGACTTACTGGTAGTTTTTGGTCGGGCCAAAATTTCATAAATTTCGCAATTTTTAGAACTTTCAAAGTTGTTTTAAGCCTATAATATTAATTCACAAGATTGAGAAAAATCACGAGAATCGAATAATAAAAAACTGACGATAAAAAAAATTGTTGCGACATAATTTAATTCAATATCTCGGTTTTTATTCAACCAAAAAATCTCAAACTATGATATACAGTATGATGAAAAAAAGGCGCCTGTGTTAACCTACACGTTATAAGTGATCTTTTATTAAAGACGAATTCGAAGACCAAAATTGGATTTGTGCTCTTATCAGTAAAATATAGACTTTCCTTTTTAGAAAAGAGAAATCTATATAATTAACAGTTTTAAAATAATTTCTAAGTCTAGATTTTGATACTGTTGACGGTGTTCTTAAAAAAAATGTGTAAAAAGTCTATTGAAATAAACTTTATTGAAGATGTTTGGATACCATTTCTTGGCTCCAAAGAAAATTTATCAATGTTGCAACATTGCAAATATCCTAGGATACAGAAATTGTCCAAGTAATATTTAATTATTGGAAACCGTAGCAACAAAAAAATCAATTTTCAATGTTGTTTGTTCTGTGAAATTTGAACGATTAAAGTCAAAAAGGTTTCCTAGATACGAAAATAGTTTTCTAGTAAAAGAAATTTGTGCAATATTGCCGCTTTGTGCTGTTAGACAAACTGTTTAAATTTTAAAAAGAATCTATTTAAACTATTTTTGGAATGATGGTCACAATGTTTCAATAAAAAAGGACCCCTGTATATATAGGCATTTTGTTTTTCCTAAGCGAGATACGAAAATGACCATCGCCAAAATCAAATTTGACTAAACCATTCGCAACAACCTTTCATTACGCATCTTTTTCGACATACTTCATTTTTACGTTCGATGCACACATTTCGAGATATTCACGTTTCAAAAATTCCAGATTTGAATTCGCGCGCTTCATCGGTTGGTAATAGTCGGCATACATACCCACACGCTTGTATTTCTAGTTGCATAAGTTTCAGGGGTCGGTTTATGACAATTAAAACAATTCTCTTGACAATTCTTTATTATCCACTCATAACCTACTCCATTAAAATTTCCTCTATTGTTTTATCATCCCTTAAAGGGCTCTGTGTTAGGGCCGGTTCACTCTCCAAAAACTGCCTCAATTCCGACTCCAAATCCCCCACTTCAGCACTAACCTCAACTTCAGGCAAGGCCACTCCTAGCGCCTTCCTCACCCCTCCAACTGGCACAATCTCCCCCGGATTCACCCTCTTGGCAATTTCCGTCAAATTCTCAGTGATATTTTCCGCCACTTGCAACTCCTCCTCACTGGGGGGCACACACTGACTCAGATGGACAGGGGGCGGCTGCGACAATCTCTGATGTTGCGTTTGTTGCAACTTTTGCAACAATTGACACATTGAATCGAGCTTTTGTTGCAACTCGTGTCTCTCCTCCGACAATTTAATCTCTTCCTCCATATTATCGAGGAAGTTGATGTCAATCCCCACGTCCTGGAGACTCCTCAACTCCTCCACATCCACTTTAATCGCATCAATCGGTTTCATTTCAAGCATCGTCTTCACAGCCTCCTCCTCCTCCCTCAACTTTTTATTCTCATCTAAGACACGTCTTGTTTTACTATGGTCGCCCCCTGTTAACAAATCCAACAAACTATCGACCAAATGGGTGGCATAATCGCTGTCTTTGACAAAATCTAAGACACTTTCGGCGTATTGCACCGCCGTGTCGGACCCATAAGTCTGATAAACGAGATCACTTTCCTCTTTACTTAAATTAGCGAAGGCCGAGTCGTAACTAGGGGCATAGGACCCGAAAGCCCCATAATACAGGGGCTTCACCGGTTTTGTGACATTGCGACGGTCCTCCCGGAACCCCTGAATCTGACCAGTCCCATCGGATAATTTCCCACAAAGTTGACCCAAAAGAACAGGACGTTTTTTCGTTCCAGGAATCACACCTTCGCCCCCCACGAGAATATTGAGATTGGTTGTACCGTCTTTGCGTTGTTTGAGGAACCCCATTGTAGGGGCCCCACGACGTGCAACTGTCAAACCAAAAAATCAAATTACACAAGGCGATAATTTTTTTTTTAAATCCACACACTTTGAACTACCTAATTTTTTTCTAATTTAAATGAATTTAAAATACTTTAACTATAAAAAATCATTACTCAATAACTATTACGCCGATTTCCGATTTCTTACTTAAAATTGCTTTTTTTGAAAGTATTTGTTTTAAGACTTTTTTTTTGATTAAAAATGATCAATTGCACTTTCTTTGTTCTAATTCGAATAAACAAAAACTGTTTGTTTACTTAAAACAAATAAATAGTATCTGTGTACTAATTAAAGCAAATAAAGTGTTTTTTGTTGTAAAAATGACCACTGATCATTGTGCAAAAAGGATCTGTTTTTAAGTCTTTTTTTTTAACTTTTTCTTTTATCCCGATTTTTCTCTCCTTTCTTTGTTTTTCCTCAAAATCATTAAATCATTTCTCTCTGTTTCACTTTCTTGCTTCCTGTTTTTATTTCTTTGTTCCGTCTCAGAAATTATACCTTTTTTTCACGCTGTTCTCCACGTTTATCGATTTTGCCCTCTTTCTGTCTCTTTTTAGGTCAGTTTTATTTTTCAATGTTTGCTTTTTTTCTTGTCTTTCTTTAAGTTTTTGTTTATTACTTTTTTTACTTTTAAAAGTTTTAATTTAGAAGAAAATAAAATAAATTTTAATAAAATCAATAGCAATGTTATAGTTTATCACATCACAAGTCTACAAAAAGAACCAAGAAACAGTAAAAACTATAAAAATAAACGACATCACCACCAAAAAAGTGAAACACTTATTTGTATAAAATTCAAAATCGAACAAAGTATGTCTTTTCTTTCCTTTTTTTCTGTATTTCTTTTCTCTTTTATTATTTTTGTTTCATCCTTTCCTTCCCTTTACGTAAAACTTCTTTTCTCTTTATATCTGTCTGATTTTTATTTTTCTACTTTTCTTTCACTGTTTTGCCTTTTGTTTTTATTTCTTTTCCCTTCTCAATAACTACAGTTTCACTTTTACACTGTATACTTTGAACATCTTTCTATCTATTTTTAAGTCTTTTTCTTCTTTTAACTTTTTCTGCATCTCTTTCTTTTTATCATGATTTTTGTCTCCTTTGTTTGTTTTTCCTCAAAATCATTAAATCATTTATATCACTATTTATTCTCTCTTTTCTCTGTTTCACTTTTTTGCTTTTTGCTTTTAATTCG